TTTATTCACAAACATTACATAAATATTGCACCCTCTCTAATAATGTATACATAATCTCATAATTAATTAGTATAATTCAGAGTTATATGTACCTTGAAAGAAAACATACAACCTACTCTGGATAGTTTAAATTTTTTTCCTATTTTGTTAATGATTTCTTCATACTAAGAAGTATTTTCAGAATAAGAAATCTGCACATTTATTTTTCTACTTTATCACTTGTGCACATTTAAACAGATCTTACTGAAACATTCATACCAAAGGAATGTTTCTGGTCTTCAAACATGCACTGAAATATGAAGATGATCCATAATGCTGAATAGTAAAAGAATTTGGCTCATCTCCTAGTTTTGAATATACAAAGTTTATTTCATTTTAAGAGGAAAACATCAGATAATCAAATATTTAGCCTTTAATACAGTTAGTGGGCATCATATATACAGACACAGCTCAATTTCTTAAATTTTATCAATACCAAAAAGTCTAAGTACCAAAATATCAATCCAAACTGATTTTTAGCATTTGGTTCCATAGATAGGAATGAGAAGGAATGCTCTTGTCCTACACTATTAACTTCACTGCAGAAAAACTAAAGGTGCTATAATGGTAATTAAAAACTCTAGTCTCTAAAAGCTAGTTTAATCTTAATGGCATCATTATTGGCTTCTAGAATAATTTTGCTATAATTAAAATTTCTCTACTTACCAGCCCTTGTTCAAACAGCTCTTTTTCTTCTATTGTCCACTTTACTGAGTAACTGGCTGGTTTTGTAGAAGAATGTACCCTAAAGGGAAAAAGAGGAATTACAAAAAAAAATTCTGAAATGAACAGTACATATTTATGCAGCTAAAGGTTATAGACAGTCATGGGCTAAAAACAATATTTAATTTAATCTATTTAAAAAAAAAAAAAAAAAGGAAGGCTGCAGGCTGTACCTGGCGGGAAAGACGACCCTGATACTTGGGTGTGAATGAGGATAACACTAAAAGGCATCACCATGATAACAAACAGGTCTCCTTAGATTGAATACAAAGAGCAGGCATTAATGCATTCCCCAAACCTAGAAGGTATGTAAGAAATTGAAATGGTTCCAGAGATAGCTCTGCATATCAAGCCAGAAAACAAGTCAAAAAACTATGGCATTAGACATTTATTTCTTTTAAATTCTGTATATCAAGAAATTAAAGCATACTAACAAAGCTCTCCAATTTAATCAAGCCATCCGTCTTTCCAATAATTTCACTTTGCTGTTCATTTGGCAAAATACAAAAAAGTCAAAGGCTGCTCGATGCTCAAGCTTAAGTCATAAATGCTAAATAATGTCTTTTCCAATTAAAAAGAATGAATATTTTTAAAAACTAATTTTTCTGTAGATTTTTTTTGAAGGGAGAGGGGAAGGTCTCGCTATATAGCCCTAGCTGGCCTTGAACTTGTAACAATCCTCCTGATTCTGCCTTCCAAGTGCTGGGATTACAAGTATGTGCCACCGTGCCTAGCCTAGCTTAAGTTTTCTAGATAATTTCTGAAAGTCACAGATCCAAATGAATTGTTAATAACTAAATGAAAATTATTTGACAGAACAGAAGTCAAGTCCATTCATAATATATTACATAGCAGTTTCTGAAGATCTCCCAGGGAAACAACTAGGAAACCACCTTCCTGTAAACTGCCAACATAAAGACACTAAAAGAAAACTCTAGCAAGTAAATGACAGCATGAAATTATGTATTACAGTATCTGCGCCAAAAATACCTTTGTTTTTGTATTGCCTTTCCTTTGAATCAAGAGGGCTTTTCCACTAACCAAATCTAATTTTTAGGAATTTTTCCCATAATTTTCAACTGATCAAAAAAGTTTTAAAAATATATAAAACAAGTACATACATGCTTTTTGCTGTTTTCTGTAGACTGCACCACATGAAAAGAGAAAATAAGGAAGCTTGTGAAGAAGTTTTTAAGAAGACAATTCAAGACTTTTAATAGTACTATAAACTGATTTTACCTGTTCATACATTTTTTATCATCTTCCTTTTGAGTAACCCAGAATTTTCCTGGAAATGATTTGTTAGATAAATAATATCTGTGTAATTATTAAGGGAACTTACTATTAAAGCTGTATATATGTTACATAAAATAGGCATGCAGAATCTCTTAAAGCCTTTTCCAGGTCTATAAAAGTTACAGCAAAAATGTTTATGCCTGACATGGTGACAAAAATTACACATTAAAACTACACAACACAATGCCCACACAGAATGTGTGCCACCGTAATGCGACTTTCCCTTCTCTTCCCTATCAGAAGTGGCTAAGAAGAAATATCATTATTTAAATCCTTTTCTAAAATATGAATAGTAAAATAGACAAATTTATTGTGTAAGGTAATTTGGGAGCTCTTGTTTCCATATTTTAAAAGCCACAGAAGAGTTTAGGATTCTTCTACACACAACTAATACAAAGAACACACCAAATTTACTGAGAAACTCCTGAGTTCCTGAAACAAGCTTGCTACAAAACAGTTCCCTTCATCTCCAGTATCCTTCACTTAACACATATCAACTACATATGCTATATGCTGGAGACAAGCATATACAAAAGGTTATCTCTGTCCTCTAAATGCTTATATATAATCCTTTTTCTATTTGTTTCTATATCTAAAAGTGAACAAGTGACTATTTAAGTGTTCATTAGCCTAGAATTGCACTGCTCACTAGAGTGGCCACAAGTCACATGTGTGGATCAAGCATCTGGAACATTAATAGTATGAACTGAGATGTATTATTAAGATAAATCATGTGTGGCTTCCAAAGACTTAGTATGAAACAATGAATGTAAAATATTAATGTCTTTATATGGGGCTAGGCAGATGGTTCAATCTGTAAAGTGTCTGCTGTCCAATCCTAAGGATCTGAGTTAGGATCAGAAGATCTATTTAAAGAGTCAAGTGTGGTGGTATGCGCATCTATAATCCCAGTGCTGTTGAGACACAGATGGATCCTTAAGAGTTTCTGGATGCCTACCCAGGCTACCCACAACAGTGAGCTCCAGAACGTAATAAACCCTGCCTCAAAAAATAAGGTAGAGGGGCTGAAGAGACGGCTCAGTGGTTAAGAGCACTGGCTGCTCTTCTAGAAGACCTGAGTTCAGTTCCTGGCACCCATGCAGCAGCTAACAACTGTCAGTAACTCCAGTTTCAGGGGATTCGACATCTTCTTCTGACTTCCACAGGCACTGCACAACACGGGTGCACTTATATATATGCAAGCAAAACCCTCATACACATAAAATAAAAATAATGAATAAAACATTAAAAAAAAAAGGTAGAAGACACCCAAAGTTGACTTCTGGCCTCCACACACTCATACATGTGCAAACATGCACCTGCACACACACAAACAAAAAGAAATGTTTTTACAAGTCAATGTTTTAAATAAGATATGCTGTAAAAAAAAGTCAGATGTTTTATTATAAAATTCATTTTTTTTTCAAATGAGGCTACTAGGAAATTAAAATTACATGTGCCTCATTGAAAAGCAATAATCAGGAAGTAACTATAATTTGGGGGAGGCAGTTATAGAATAAGGGATTAATTAATGGTAATTAAAAGTATAGAACCATTCTCTAACAAAAACAGATAGGAATACAAAGAAGAGAAATTCTGGGTTACATAGACATCCATGAAATGCAGATGGAAATTAAAAATAAGCCACTATTTGTTAGTGATATTTATAAACCAGAAATCAGAAATTATTGTTTTATCCTCTCATTTTACATATAAGAAGTCTAAATCTCAAGGAAGTTAAAAAACCAGTATGTAGCACAGATGAAAGAAATCAATCTAAGCAGTCAGCTGCTGAATCACAGATGAGGACTTACAACTTTTGGGGAAAAATACGTCTGTTTTATGTTCTCTGTTTAAAATTCCTTCCATGTAACATCTGTAAACTGTAGAGGAAAAGGTGAAACAATTTCATATTCTAATTCTATCTTGGGCAGATGGAGATCTAAGTTTTAGCATACAGTACTTGAAAATGGAAGCTTGGACTTAAGGTTCTAACTTAAATATTCTATCAGTTCTATGTAATAGTCACATATCACAGAGTTGGCTGACAACAGAAACTTGAAAATGCTGAGTCAAATCTTAGTCTCAGCAATAAAACAGAACAATGTTTCTTTCTGCATATAAATTACATAGAATGACATAATTGCAGCCTGTGCCAAATAAGACCCATCTAGTAATTACAGTGGCCTCTTCTGTAATTTTTCCACGATCACTCTTTAGCTGTGAAGCCTTTTTATCCCCCATAATCAATGAAGGATACTCTTCTTCCAACAACATTTTCTCAATGACAGCTCTGTTCTCTTCACTGATGGTGCTATCCAGAGTCCAAGGCTATTTAAAAAAAGAAGAAAAAGTATGTATAACTCTCTATATACCTCATTACTTTAAAAACTTATTTTGTTGAGTAAAAAAATTACATAATATAAATAACAGCTACTTATTACTAAATGAGCACAGGCACATTTTTATTTTCACATTGAGACAGGTATAAATACTTCACAGATGCATCCACAGCACTGCTGGAACCTTAAGTGAAAGAGAAGAAACCTCACACTCTTACCTCTGATAGGTAATAATGGTCACCATGCAGGAAAGGATTCCTAGACTTCAGGCATTTTGCTAAACATTTAACCTGTTTCCAAAACTCAATTCTGTTTTTCCCCAGCCACAATCTCTCAGTAAATGATTATAATCCTCTAGGTTCTAGACTGTCATGTTCACGACTCACACCAGACTTCCCTATGGATATCTAATCTAACTAGCTTCCCAAATTAAACACACTCAAAACAAAAAAAGATTTCCACCCATTTTTCCAACTTTGCCAAGAACATTACCAGTCACCAGTTACTATCTAAAAATTCATTCTAAATTCTTTCCTTTGCCCTCAAACCCCACGTGCAATCTACCTTCACAATGTAATTTAGCCTCCTTTACCTCTTTTGCTCTCACCCAGGGCAAGCCACCATTTTCAAATCTTGCTTAGACATTTGCAAGTATTTTCTAGCTAGTCTCCTCTGTTTCAGCTCTTGCTTCCTTTCAATCCACTCTTTACCACAGCACCCAAAACATGCTTTATAAAAAGCTATAGGAAATGTTTCAATGTCTTGGTTCACTTACAAAATTTAAACCCCTCAGCATAAACTAGCTGTTCCTTCTGTCCAGCAATTTTTTCCCCTGTAATCCTTCATTATGTATCTATTTTTCCAGCAATTTTTTCCCCTGTAATCCTTCATTATGTATCTATTTTTCCCATTACATTTAAATTTAAATATCATCTCCTCATTTGCTTTCACCTACAACTTTATGTCAAGTATCCCCCAGCCTGGTAACCTCAGTCAGCACTTGGCCTATTCCCTTCATAATCTACAAATGGGTCTGTCTGCTTATGTATTGCCTGACCCCAGTTTTGCCTATAAATTCTATGAGACCAGAGTCACATCTATTGTAATTACAGCTGAAGTCTTCTAACTTTTTTTTATTGTTTGGTGCACTGTGTACTCAATAAGTAACTGTTAATTGAAGAAATGAACTCGGTGATCATACCTATTTTTCACTTGTAGAAATCAACACAAATTTGAAAAATGGTATAGATTTGTACCTAAATCAAACTGGATCCAACTTTAACAGATAATTTTTCATAGCTAAAAAAGGTTTATTCAGGGCGGGAGAGATGGCTCAGTGGTTAAGAGCACAGGTTGTTCTTGCAGAAGGACCAGGTTTGAATCCTAGCACCCACATGATGGTTAACAACTGTCTATAATACAATTTCAGGGGATCCAACACCCTCTTCTGTCCTCTGTGGGTATTTCACGACATGGGTGCATTAACACACATGCAAGCATTTAACACTCATACACATAAAAAAAAAAAATCAATCAATCAAAAAAAGGTTAATTCTATTAAATTTTTATTTATTTTATGCATGTTTTGCAAGCATGTAAGTATACCACATGTGTGCAATGCCTGCAGAGGCCAAGAACAGGGTGTTGGATCCCCTGGACCTGGAGTTATGAGTGGCTGTTAGCCACCATGTGGGTGCTGGGAATTGAACCTGGATCCTATGCAAGAGCAGTCAGTGCTCTTAATTGCTGAGCCATCTCTCCAGTCCCTTAAAGGATGGAAATGTTTCTATACAATACCTCAGTGATTTTTGAGTTAGGTCTCAATCAAAAAAGGAAAGAGAGACTGGACAATGAGTAGCAATGCAAGTCACCTGACAGCTTCTTAAAATACTTACAATAAAGCCATTCTCATTTCTCCACGATGAATCAAGATAGTGATCTGGAACAACTGAAGTTGTATTTTCATCATTTCTATAACAAGAAGATTAATGTTAGAGTGATACTATATCAGTTAATGACTATAACTCACATAGTACAGAGACTGGCCAAGTGTTGATGCTAAGCAGATAACCTTAAGTTTCCTAGATTTAACATGGCAGCAATACCTGATCTGCCTCCTTGGCCTATGAGGGAAAATACAGTGCAACTCCAGAACTACAACAGGCTTTGAGGTAATGAACCAACACCTTAGTTTCAGCTGATGCATGCACATACACACAAACACTACAATTAAATCTTTTAGCAATATCTAAGCCACAAAACCCACCATCCAAAGCACCTTCAAGAAAACAAAAAAGCCAGAACTAGATGAAAAACTAAAACAGAAAGCACTAAAAGGTTAGTACCAACTTGCATAATTTTAAAAATTAATTTGGGTCATTTGGAGGATTTCTGGACCCATGGAGGATCAATGTTTGTTTATTCTCTTCTTTAATTGAAATAAGAAGCTTCATTTGCATGAAGACTACCTGGCCGGGTTTTGCTGCCCCCCCACCAGCCCTACAAGCTACGATGCAATTAAATTTAGTATTTTCCTTTTGTATGCTTGAAGTTACAGTGTTTCCTATAGAAATTATTGACTTCCTCTTGACTTAATCTAGTGATAAGAATCCTATTCTATGAACTGAAAGCAATTTCTCTCAGTTGATACTAAACAGGTTTAAACTCAAGTGTCAACTGTGATTTGGAAGAGGTTAGATAAAGGACTCTGAGACATGGTAGCAGAAGGAAAGCATTTGTAAGGTCTGCTGAGAGTGCAGAAGAGGTGCTACTATCATTTTAAGTTCAGCAGAAATTTTCTCACACAGTATACCACAATAAGGAGTTACAACATTTACTGTGGTCTACACATCTGGACATCTACCCGAATCTCCTTAGGTGCCTGCACTAGTTAACACCGTTAAGCTGAAAACCCTTCCTCTTTGAACTGCTAGTCTTCTAGTGTCCTCTATCTTAGCCACCAAGCAATCATCCGCCTGGTAGCCCAAGCCAGAATTCTGAGTCTTTTTTCTTCACAACTCAAAATCATGCCAATTCTGTTACCTTCTTTTTTTTTTTTTTTTTTTTTTTTTTTTTTTTCCTTTTTTTTTTTTTTTTTTTTTTTTTTAATTTTGCTTTCAATATTTCCACTCTCTGCTCTGAAGGTCCATGGTTAATTTTACTGGTCTGTGTAGGAAAGGATGCTGGCAAGCCAGTCATCTCCAACTTTGCCCACTTACTTCTATCTAACACAGTCTATTATCTCTTTTACCCAACAAAAGTAAGAATTCTCTGAGTAGGGACTTTATTTTCATAAGTACTTTGCACCTTGGAGATGGCATACAGAAGGTAGTCGGCAACTGAGGGAGTGAGTAAATATAGGTGGGAATGGACCACAGAAGTCTCTAGTAGTTAGGGAATAAAGACTATCACATAACCATCCAGACAGTACATTCCTGTAATTGTAATCTCAGAATTTGGGAGGTGGAGGAAAGAGGATCAGGAGTCCAATATATGGTGAGTTCCAGACTAGTGTAGGTTACATGAGACTCCTTATTAAAACAATATAAAATGAAGTAACAAAGATTTTAATCACAAAACCAATTGGAAACTAGAGGCAACAATTTTGGATGTAACAAAAACTAACTTTAGGAAAAAAGGGAGGCCTAGGAGAACAGTGGTGAAGAGGAAATAATCACCACAGAAAAAGCAGTGTGACCAGATACAGAGTATCAACAGGCTTTGAGTAACTGACATGATAGGGGAGTAGGAAAAAAGTCAAAGGAAAAGGCATGAAGTTCAAGCCTCAGTCTTGAGTGAATGGGTGGATATTGGTATCATTTACTGAACTAAGAACACCCAAGTGCCAGGTTTTGGAGGGTAAGTTTGTAAGGGGATGCTGAGGTACTTGTAAGACATCCAAGTACTGACGGATTCAGATTAGAGTGCTGATCGAAGAAAGATTTGAGAGAGTGACACATGAAAGAGATACTAGCAAGTATTTGATTGACTTTAAGAAACTGCATCTTTATATGACAAAATGGCAGGATACCAACAAATGGATCAGCCTAACAGAAAATAAAGTCTTGAGAGATGCTGTCACCAGTTATGGTCAGTGAGCAGAAGTCCTATGTCATTAGGATTTTAAAACACACAGAGAGGGGCTGGAGAGATGGCTCAGTGGTTAAGAGCACTGGCTGCTCTCACAAAGGACCTGGGTTTGGTTCCCAGCACTTACATGATGACTAACAACTGTCTGTAATTCTAGTTCCAGGGGATCTAATGCCCTCTTCTGGTCTCAATGGACATTACATGAACAAGTGCATATCCGTACATGTAGGCAAAACATACACATAAAATAAATAAATTTGGGGACTGGAGAGATGGCTCAGTTGGTTAAAAGCACTGGCTGCTCTTGCAGAGGACCCAGGTTGCAATCCCAGTACCCACATGGCCGCTAACAGCCATCCGTAACTCCAGTTCTAGGGGATCTAATGCCCTCTTCTGGCCTCCATTGCACACACATGGTACATTTACATTCATGCAGGCAATACATTCATACACATAAAATAAAATAAATAAAATATTAAAAAATAACACACAGAAAGGGAAGATGAGAAGGAATGATCAAAGTTGGAGGAAAGCCAAAATGCTAGCGTTTGATTTTAGTACCTAGCATTTGTTTGTTTGTTTGTTTATTTATTTATTTATTTATTTTGGTTTTTTTCAGACAGGGTCTCCATGTAGCCCCAGGCCTGGAACTCACTTTGTAGACCATGCTGGCCTTGAATTCACAGAGCTCCACCTGCCTCTGCTTCCGAAATGCTGGAATTAAAGGTGTGCACTACCACACCCAGCACTACCTAGCATTTTTTAAGTACTTAAAAGCAGTGTTTGAAATTAATCCTCAAAAGTTCCTCAAATTCTACTCTCCCAGGTTAACAGTATATCTTAGGGGAAACCAATCACACTAAATTCCAAATGATCAACATCAGGGGTACCATTCTCCAAAACATAAAGTCAATAATGCTCCTTGGAGTTATATAAAGCAGTGACTGACATCAGGAACCAAAAACATTCCTAATCCTGCTTTTATGAGATTAACATCACAAATCTCACCAGCAAAGTCTCAAGAAAACAGTAAGAGAAAAAAGGGAAAAAAAGCCAAAAACATCTGAAAAACTAAGAAAAACCCAAGAAAGAGGCATATAACCAATGCCCTTGGGCACTGTTTGGTGGACCCATTCTTCTAAGCACTGCATACACCTATTGCCCATTTAGCTCACTGATTTTGTGTAAAGTAATGAATTTATAAGTACTTGTGCAAGATTTAAAAATTACACCATTGGGCTGGAGCGATGGCTCAGCAGTTAAGCGCACTGACTGCTCTTGCAGAGGGCCCTGGTTTGATTCCCAGCACCTGCACGGCAGCTACTAACCATCCTTAACTCCAGTTCCAGGGGAATCTGATGCCCTCTTCTGACCTCTGCAGCAGGTGCACTCACATACATGCAGGCAATACACTCATACACATAAAATAAAAACAATAAATAAAATATACTAAAAAAATAAAATAAAAATCACACCAACGTTAAGAACCAGTTATCACAGGCTATGTATCTGCATAGCTTCTGAACTGTGCTGCCTAAAGACTTGAGAGAATAACTATGTGAATTTAATTACTGTTCACATTTTCATAACGTTTTAGAGTTCACCCTCCACTTTTAAACTCCTTACTTTGGTGCCTCATAGGGCAGTTAATACTCTTCAATACTTGAGGTCTGGATGCATTATATGAAATGGCCACTATACAGGCCAAAACTGAATTAACCATTAGTAATTCCACATAGCTCAACAGAATTCTAATAACGTTGTTGACAAATTACAAGTAACAATCGGCTGCATTTAGAGCTTCAGTCTTCTGGCTCCTACCCAATCTAAGCATCTCCCGTTACTTAAAAAGGAGGCACGTTTCTTACTCCTAAAGCAGGTTTTGTTTATAACCACACTGGCCCGTCCTGCAGGAAATGGGTTATTTAACAACAATCCTCACTGGGTTTTCACTACATCATTCCTTAGGACAGTAGAACACATCTGCCGACCACTTAACATTTACCAAGGCACCTTTCATAAATTATTTCTTTCGATGTTGACAATCTTATGAGATACAAACGTAACTCTCAGTTTACATACGAGCGTCGTTGAGGTTCAAAGGTCAGGCTGACAGCAAGGAGCACCCGAACGGTTCAACTCCAATACCTGGATCCCTTAAAACCAAACTGCCTTTCCGGAAGTTTTCACAACTAGTAGGCAAAAAGAAAGAAGCGACTAGGCCTGGGTGGCTTGCAAGCAATGGACCCAGTCTCTGAAGTCAGGTCCTGTCAACAGGGCGCCAGGGCTCGAGCTGCGGACTCGCAGAATCTGAGATACAGGGAACGCAGGAAGGAATCGTGGAGGAAGTGCACTTGGCCCGCTGGCGCCCTCAACCCATCCCGGAAAGTGGCGAAAAGGTCGGCGGACTGAGGCGAGAGTCCACACCGTGCCCGCGGAACCCGCAGACTTCCGGCCAGGAGCAGCGGTGCCTACTGCTTCGTCCCAGGGGCACGCGCCCGCCGTCCGCTCCCGACTAGGCCGACCGCAGTCCTAAAAAGCCCCGCCTCACTCCGCCCGGCCCGCGACACCCGGCTCCGCGCCTCACCCCGACTGTGCCGCCACCGCCACGTCCCCTTCCACATCCACATCCACCTCCTCCGTCTCCATGACGGCACCTGACCCCGGCCTTCCTCGCGAGACCCCGGGAGACGCGAAAAGCCAGGACCAGCCGAGCGCGTGACGCGCCACGGGGAGGCGGGACTTCCGTGAGAAAGGGGCTGCGCGGAACACAGAGGCGGAGCCCAGCTTCCTGTGAAAGTTTTTCCTGCGGCACTACGCGGCTTGATTCTCTGGCGTTCTCCTACGGGTCAAGGCAGGACTCTTTCCAAACGAAGTCCAACCAGACCCTATTTCGTGAATTGTGTCTCTCTTACACAGTTTATGTGGTGTATTTCAAAATTCAGGAAATGGAACAGAACACGACTGTATTATGTCAGTAAAATCTTTACAATGTAAAAAATCGCTTTCCTGACTCCTTAGAATGACCCAGGGTCAAAGTGCCGGTTTCTGGAATTATACGTCACAGATAGGGAAACAGGCTCAGAGAACCTAGAGCAGGGAACACAGGCTTCTTCAGCTCTGTCCTGAGAGCTGTAAGAAAATAGGAAGGGAGAAAAGAGACGAACCAGAGCTCAACGGTGCAAGCAGGTTTACGAGGCAAAGATGCAACCTGAGAGGGACCCTCCTCTTTTACAGACTCGGAGTTTATATACTCCCTTCAGGGAGGGGCTTGTGGTAGCGTCGTGTCCCTATGGGAGAACGCAGATGCAGGGTAGTGATCATGCCAGGAGCATTGCGGACCTACTATTTATTTCCCTATCACTTGCCATGTACAAATCGCTGTTGTTAGGATCTGTTGAGTATAAATACCGTTTCTGCCAAAGAACACACAGTTTTCCAAGAAGCTTCATGCGTTTTCCTGCAGTAGCCCGTTTCTTAGGTATAATTCTTGAACACTGCCTCCCTTATTGGACTGTGACTTCTTTAAGGACAATGTCTGGTTGTCCTTACACGATCAACATTCAGCATGGTGAATCACACATAGTAGGATCTCAATAAATGTTGAACAGGTAAACGAATGGATACAATGAGCATACATCTTACCTTTTCCTCTGTTTATGACTGTGGTGGCAGAAGATGGAAAGAAAGATTTGCAAAGAAAGCCCAGCAGTCAGGAGCTTAACAGTGTGAAGGTAACATTCTCAGTGATGGAAGCAGAGCCTTGAAGACCATAGACAAGACAACTCCATGGGGATTAGCAGTTTATTTGGGGGCAGACTGATGGGCTGCCTCTCCAGGAGCGGAGAAACAGCAGCAAGCAGGGGAAGTCAGTTAGGTGGTTGGGTAACTTTCCATGACGGTAGGCTGGGCAGTTTAGCTCAGGATTGAGTGATCTCCCAATAAGCAGAGGAACTTGGGGGCTAAGTGTGAACCCACCATTTTAGAATATTGGAAGCTGCACTGCTATTTTAGGAGCCTGTCAGGAACCTAACACTCAGATCACACTGGGGGCATGTTTTTGGTTTTGTTTCTTTGTTTTTGATCAAAAGGCCTATACACTGGCCAATGGTCATGCCATACCTGTTAAAGAGTAGGTATTTAAAGATGTCTGTAGAATTAAATTTGCAGCAGGAATTTGTTACAGATGGGCTAAAAGAGTAATACAAAAATTCAGAATGGATATGTTGATCTTTACACTGATCTTTACACAGCAGGCAGCACTGTCTGGATATGTAAAGAAGAGTGCTTCCTAGAGAGTAACTTAGAATCCACGTGAACATTATCTGCAGCAGGGAGGCAGTCAGGGCTTTCTGGTCTAGGACAAAGCATCAGTGGACATTGAAATACATGTGGAGAAAGGAAAGACCTATAGAAAATTCAGATATGCCTCAGTCATCTCAAGGTCTTCCTTAATAGAAGCATTAATTGTAAGCCTCCCTGTACATGCTGCACACTGTATTCTGGGAAAATGGACTTTGTGGAAATCGGTTCCCAAGGATTGTTACCTAACCACCTACCAGGTGCTGTTGTAACCACATATGCAGTTGAACTCCACAGACCTGATCTTTTTAAAAGTCCTTGTTCTAAAGGAACTTGCAGAGGCCTGAAAAGGGCGTCAGATCCCCCTGGAACTGGGTGTTACAGGTGCTTGTCAGCCACCAGGTGAGTGCTGGGAAGTGAACCCCAGGTCCTCTGCAATGACTGTATGTGCTCTTAATCACTGATTAAGATTAATCATCTCTCCAGCCCCTTTATCTTCTTGTTTGTTTGTTTGTTTGTTTGAGGTTAGGGTTTCTCCGTGTAGCTGGCTTGAACTTGCTACGTATGCCAAAATCCCAGAGATCCACCAGCCTCTGCTTCCCAAGTGCTGGGATTATAGGTGTGTACCACCAAACTTGGCTCTCTACCTTCTTTTTGTGAGACAGGATCTCTCACTGAGCCTGGAGCTCACCAATTCAGTAAAACTAACTGTCCAGTGAGCTCTAGGGAGCCTCCTGTTTCTGCCTCTCCGGCATGAGGACTACAGGCACACAGCACCACACTCAGTTTCTTATGTGGGTTCTGTGGATAGGAACTCAGGTCCTCATGCTTGAGCAGCAGGCATTTTATTGCTTGAGCCATTTCCCTAGTCCCTGTGGAAACTTTTCTTGTATTTAAATCTCCTAAAGAGTATTAGCTATTTAAAAAAATAGACCAGACATGGTGGTTCATTCCTGTAATCCCAGGATTCTGAGGGTAGAGACAGGAGGATCAAGACAAACCTGGGCTATGTAGCAAAGACCCTGTCTCAAGTAATAACAGTAATAGTAATGAAGATGATGAATAATAAACTATGAGATTCATAACCCACATAAGTTTAAATATGTGACAATAATGTAAAGTCAAGGAAGAAAGAAATGCAGCTATAATATGTAAAGGGTTTGTTTTGCTTTGAATTTTTTTGAGTGTGGACTTAATTTTTTAATGAGTTTTTGTGCATCTCATACAATAGTTTTTAATTAAATTTAGACTTCCCTCCCTCATCAGTGCTCCCCAAAGCCCCCCACCAGATTGCATGCATTCTGTCATATATGTTAAGTACTATCTTGTCAAACATTTGTACCCAGATGTCCCTCAGTGCAAGTTCATTCACTGGAGTCTAGTCAGCCTCTCTAGAGTCACTCCCTTAAAGATCAACTTTCCCTCACCCAGCAGTAATCAGTTGCCAATAGTTCCTCTGCTAAGGTTGAGTCCGTTGTTCATTACCCCAGTTCTATGCCAGGTTTTTGTCTTATTGAGTCAGCATGGGTCTTGTGTATGCTGTCACCATAGTTGCAAGGTTTTAGATAATATTTTGTTATTTGAGAATTTCTTATCTGCATAAAATGTATTTACTTATTTTTATGTATAGGAATTTTACCTGCATATATGTAAGTGCACCCATGTCTTGCAATACCCACAGAGGTGGAGGCCCATAAAAAGGTGTTACAGAACTGGAACTGGAAGTTCAGATGGTTGTGAGATGTGGGTGCTGGGAACAGAACCCAAGTCCTGTTCCAATGCTCTTAGCTACTGAGCCACCTCTCCAGCCCCAGCATACAATTTCTTTTGATCATATTCACCCCTATTCTTTCCCCCCAACTCTTCCCAGATTCACCCTCTACCCCTCCACTTCTCCCAACATCCTGACCACTTTTTTTTCTTCATAATTCATAGCCCACTTTTTGCTGCCCATATTCTTGTGGGCATGGGGCCATCTACTAGAGTTTGGTTAACCTACCGGGGGCCACATTGTTAAAGAAAACTGATTCTCTCTCTCTCAGAAGTCCATCAACCATTAATAGCTCCTCGATTAGGGGTGGGGGCATATAAGCTTCTCCACCCTCCATGCTAGAATGTTGACTGACTTAATCTTGTGCAGCTCCTGAGCAGGCAGCTACAGTTGCTGTGAGTTTATAAGTGTAGCAGTCCAGTCATTCCAGAGGACAGTTTTGGTCTAGTCTTCCCTCTTTTGGTCCCCTCTTCCATGATAGTTCCTGAGCCTTGAGGAGGTGATATAGGAATCCACAGACTCATTCTCTGCACTTTGACCAATTGTAAGTTTCCATGTAAGCCACTGTCTACTGCACAAAGAAACTCCTCTGATGAGGTCTGAGAGCTGCACTAATCTGTGGGTGTAGAGAGACATGTATTTAGAGGGCAGTTTGATACTATGTCCATTTAGCAAAATAATAGTAGTAGGTCCACACCTAAAATGTTTTTATCCTGCCTAAGATGTAGCATGTCACGTAAATATGCTGTTTCTGTGATATGCTAAAAATGTGCAGTGTCAACCCTACCACCATTGCTAAAATAACAAAGTTTGAATGTTAAAACATTTAAAATATATTATTTTTTAGCAATAATAAGGGGGTTGTTAGCTTGCTAAAGAACATGAATTTAGCAGGTAGTGGATAAATAATTTAAACCAAAGCCAACTTTGAAGATGTTATTTTCCCCACATCACACAGTCTTTCGTGTGTGTGTGTGTGTTTGTGTGTGTGTATGTCTTTGCATATATTCTTCTGAATTAAAAGAGGAAAACATTTCATATCATCTGGGCAGAGATATCCAACTGAATTTAAGGAAATGCTCTGAATGACTTCACACATATGTAAATTCATGGTAAGAAAAGCTGTTAGTACTGTTCCAGTTCATCTCTATGGAGAAAGAAATTGGAGTGTTGAAGATTTCCGGTTCTAGTATAGAGAAAGATTCTGCTATTTTCCAGCTACTAGCCAGACCACCTGTACTCCACGAGAGGATAGACTTTATTGTACAACTTTATCCCTATGCGCCATAGCTTTGCTGGAAACAAGCTTGACTATCCTTGTTCTAATTCTATACTCAGAAATCAGCTACCCCCCTGATAACCTGATTTACACACAGATCGTACTTACATGAGCTTTACAGACACATAACAGTAACAATTCACAATGCAAGGAACACTTTGGCAGGCTGGCGGCCACAGCAGTCTCACAAGCCTTTCAGGAGTGAGTGACTTGG